ACTGTCGGGTGATGATCACAAAGCATCCACCCATTTCTAATACTCTTCTCATTCACTCTATTCTAGCACTTCTCATTCTCTCTACCCTTAGAGTAGTTGCATCCACAAAGTTCTCTACTCATAGAGCAAGTGCATACACAAAGTTTCCTACTCTTTCTTAGGTCACTTCTCAATGCACAATTAATGCCTATGGATGGTTCATCTCCACTAATGCACTTATGAAATGCCAACATGCAATGTTGCAAGAATTAAGGTTCACTACTCATACTCAAACCTCTATTAGGCATTTCATCAAACAACTCAAGTGCATAATAAAACTCTACTATAACAATAATTCTAAGTCTTTCTCTAACCATCCAAAATGGGGAGAAACCCCCTCACATAGCCACATATCCTGCCAAAGAAAGACACTTCCAAAAGGATTCCTTAATACCCTTCAATTCCATCTCAAACTACCTTTCCAACCCACATCTCACTTCTTATATTTGAAATGTATAAACAATCACAAAGCACTAGAAATCTCTATTTAAGCCTCAATAACATGGCATATAACATGTATATAACATACATACATAATTGCTATCAAAAACCCTAATCAAGAAAATTCTCAAATCTCAACTTGGGTTGGGATTTACTTACCTTGTTATGGAGAGATTTCACTAGCTCTTCCTTTCACTTGGTTTGCTTGACTTTTTCTCTACTCTTAAACAAAAGAACAAAAACCCTCAATATTCAATATATACAAAAACTCACAAAGCTTCACAACCAAAGCAAGAATCCTTACCTTAGGATGCCTTAGGTTGATTTTCTACCCCAAATCACTCCAAAAGCCCTTTAAAACTCCTTGATCAAAAGAAAGAGAATTTGAGAGGAAGCAAGAGAGGAGAGTGGCGATGGAGAAGAAGAATGAAGGGTTTGCAATGACTTAATTCCTTTTAATGAAATTTATACACAATCATTCCCATTTTGCCCTTACTCTTCTTTGGGAATTCTATCTATATCCTTTGATTCATTACAAACACACCCCCATAGCAACATATTCTCCATGAAAATTCCTTGCATTTGACTCCCCACTTTTCCTGCTAATTAGGGGTAGAATGGTCAAATTGCCCTTAGGGAAGAAAATATCAAAAACTTAACAAACATTTTGGTCGGCCTGTCGCCGCGGCAAGGAAGCTTCTATCGCTGCGGCGAAACTGTCCAGCAGCTTCCCGTGGCTTCATCACCTCTTCGCCGAGGCGAAGATTCTTCTTCGCCCCGGCGAAGCTTGGAATACTGAACTTCTTCTATTTTCAACCAATTTCAGGGCAAGTATTCAACATAACACTCAATCAAAGGTCAACCAAACAATATTACCAAGAAACCAACTCAAATAAGAGCAAACGAAGAAACAATAACAACGTACCTCAAGTGGGGCGTTACATAGGTTTTGGTCAATTGGATTTTAGATAATTTTTATAGTTGATTAATTTTAGTTCTAATCAGTTGTTGCTTTTCTTTAATTATTTTATTATTAATTCTAGTTATGAGTTTTAATTGAAGCATAGTTATTAGGATTAGTAAATTGTTTACAAATCTCTGTGGGATCGACCCTTGCTTTTTGCACACTAAACTACGATAGCAATTCGTACACTTGCGAGGAATTAGAATTTGTTCATTAGTTATCATTTGGCATTCAACCTTAGCATGCTTCTACAAATAAGACACTCCAAAAACTCGTGTTGGCACATGGCCATTCTATCACCAATTTCCTCAAGCTTAGAGGAAGTTGGAAGGTCACCCTAGGTTTATTATTCTATTACAAAGAATAAAACATCTTCAGGATTCGTCATGCCTTCGCCTCATCTTCAAAGCTTATTCTACTTTACAAATAAATTTAAAGAAACCTTGAGTTACATTTGAGGGGATTTAAATGAGAAGAGAATTCACATTGAAGAATGGGAGGTAAGGCAGGACACACAGGCCTTATTTAAAACAAACAAATCCAAAACAATAAAACCTAAGGTCTATGGCCGAGTACCAAACACCATGCCTAATAGACACCAACCATACAATGCATAAATTAAAATTTACCATATTTGAATTTTTGGGTCAATTTCACTTTGGCCCCTTTAATTTTGAAGATTTTTTATTGGTCCCTAAACTTCATAAAATTATTTTAGTCCTTGTCTAGTTTGAAAAATGACTAAACAGTCCAGAATAGTGACAACTCATTCTTCTATTGATGGCTAAGTGTAAGAGTTCAAAACGCTTTTCTCCATTCCCTAAAATACCCTTATCCTGCAGCAATAGGACAATTCCTTTGCAACCCTAATTCCTACATGAAAGATCGTGGGATTTATCCTCTTCGATGGCAAAAACCATTAAATCCTAGTAGCCTAAAACAGGCCACTCCCACTAGGCTCACGTACATAGTGCGAGACCCAAAAGTCTCAGACGGCTAGGCATGTTAATGCCTAGCCTTGTCTTGCCGTAGCAAGGCATTGCCACGCGCTCACAAGCGTGATAGAGGCTATCGTTGCTGCAGTGTTGAGACAGTGTGTCACGCGCTATGGCATGTGGTAGTCGCTATATGCCAAGGGTAATGCGTATGAGGTACATACCCCCTAATTGAGGGCCAGTCGTGCATGAAGGCATGGCCAAGGGCCCTTGGGGTTTCCTGGTGGCGTGCGGCAACCCGAAACTAGGCACAGCCACGCGCAGCAATGCGCAACAAGAATGGTGGCCACGCGCACCAATGCGTAGTAGAAGGTAAGGTTGTCGTGCTCTCCAGCATGCAACCATGGTCAGGGTGGCTATGCACAGCATCGCACAACCATGGAGTAGGGGGCTACACACGCCAACGCACAACCATGGACAACGAGTGCATGCAGCACACAAATTTAGCCACCTAAATTAGGGTTTTTTGTAAACCCTATTCTAGCCAATCTACAAGAAACTCATCAACACAATTAAATCCAAAAACAGCAGGTTTGAAATTAAAATTAAAAACCCTATGCATGCCAATCTAGCACCCAATCACATACATTCAATTAATAGTCGAATTGAAGCTCTAATACCACTTGTAGGAACCATGTCATGGCAAGCACAGAATAACAAAAATTTTATTCTTGCCATGGCACGATTCCCTTACCCAAGATCATGATTTTGACTAAATTAGTCAAGATAAATTAAAACTACCATACAAGGTTATGTGATATACCTTCCGTTGGTGGCTCCTTCTCTGGATTGGAACTTTTAGTACTGTTCACTATCACTATTCACAGGTACTGTCACAGGGTACTGTTCACAGGATACTGTTCACAGCATACTGTTCACAGCATTGTTCACGGGTACTGTTTACTGGTACTTCACTATCGATCCAACGTAGGATCGAGTCTGTCAGTATCCATACAAAGGTAGGCTCGGGATCACCCTAGGATTGACTGCTAGATCAATCGGAGGGCTTAAGGGAGGTGGTAGATAAGAGAAATTCTCTCTCTCTCTCTCTCTCTCTCTCGGTCTAGGGTTGGTGGCTAGGGTTTTTGGGAGAGGTAATTTTGCAAAATTAACTTTTGATTATTAGCTCACTTAAAATAAAACCCAATGACCCTTAATATAGACAATCTCAAATAAGAGTCCAATAAGGATTGTAAATCCTTAATTCCTTTTCGGATTGGATTACAATCGTTATTTGAATTGGATTGCAATCCGTGATATAAGGGAATAGAATATCTCTTAAAGATATTCTCCTAAAATATGAATCTTGATTAAATAAATATTCCTATTTATTTAATTCCTATATAAATACATATTCTAATTAAATAAATATTACTATTTATTTAATCGATATATATTTATATATATTTATCATATTTAATATATGAGTTTTAATATATATTTAATTAAATTAAATATATATTTCCATATTAATTAAAATTAATACGATTCCAATTTTGCTAAAAATTCTCCCAATAAATTGGATAATAGCGTCAACCCTTAGCAAAATTACCAAAGTGTCATTTTCGCCCATAATGACAAAAATGCCCCCAGACTCCCAAATTACCAAAATACCCTTTTTAGTCCAATGACAAGATTGTCCTTCAATTTTTGTTTCTCCCTTAACTACCTTCTATGTGTGTGACTCGAAGGCTCTTCACTTTGCCGACAGTGTCGCGCTAACTAATTAAGAATCAAGCAATTAGTATTTTTGTACACAATTCAAGATTGGCCTCTAGCAAGACATCATGATTCCCCATAAGTAAAGAATCAATAATTTAGGCTTACCTTGTCTTTGGTATGGTTACCTTGCAATTCGATCCGTTTCATCATCTTTTATCTCATCAAGGTTTGAGGTACAGAAATAGTGTTTACCTCAAAAGCTACCTTGACATGTTCTACATTTGGTTCTTGAATAAGACGACTATTGGATTCGAGCACTTACTTGATTTCTGTAACACCCCACTTGAGGTACGTAGTTAAGATTTGATGAATGGTTCGAATGTTTATCGATTTATCCTTAGTTGAGTCTGTATGTTGTTATTATTGTTTGGTTTATCCTTGGATGAAAAGGTATATTGGTTTGGTTGAGTGTTTTTCTTGAAGGTTGGTATGATTTAGCAAAATTTTAGGGTTATAGTCTTCGCCGGGGCGAAGAAGTCTTGTCGCCGCGGCGAAGAGGGAGTGCTTCAACCCGGGTGGCCTCTGTGAGTTTTCGCCGAGGCGAAGAAAATAGCTTCGCCGCGGCGAAGACTCAGCTGAATGTTTCCCTTGAGTTTTTGAGATTTCTTTCTTTTGAGACTCAATGACCATTCTACCCCTTTTTAGCAGGAAAAGTGGGGAGTGAATTGTAAGGAAAATTCATGGAGAATAGTTTGATTGGGGTTGTGTTTGCAAAGAATGAAAGGTCTTAAATGGAATTTCAAAGAGTGAGTAAGGGTATTTTGGGAAAGAGTGGAGAAAAATATGTGATATTAAGGGTTAGCTTTAGAAACCCCTTCATTTTGTTTTCTCACCACCGCCTCTTTCATCCCCTATTTCTCTCAATTTTTCATCCAAGATTCCAAGGATTCTTGAAGAGCTTTTGACTAGAATTTGTTACAAATTGATCCTAAGTACTAAAAGGTAAGATTCCTTACTCTAGAAGCAAATTTTCATTTGTTGAAAGAATGGGATCCTTATTAAGTTTTGTATTGAAGGTTAAGAGAAAGTGTTAAGCCATCAAGAGTGGAGAGTTTAAGTGGGTTCTACTTGTGTCCAAGGTAAGTAAATTCATCTAAGTTGTGATTTACTTGATTGAATGATGTGTAGAGAGTTTTAGATCTATGATTAATGCTTGAATTGTTTATGTTGAAATGAGTTGATGAATTCATGAATGGGTTCAATGTTGTTATATGAAGGATTTTCCACCATGAGGAGGGTGGATTGTGTTGTGAAATTTTGGTTGAAGTATGGGTAGAATTAGAAGTAATTGAGAGGAATTTTTGAAGTGTGTTTCTCTTTGCAGGATGTGTGATGATTTAAAGGAGTTAAACTCCAATTTTGGATGGTTAAGAAAGAAATATGATTAAAGTTAGAATAGAGTTTATGTATGCACACATATTGTTTGATGAAATGCCTAAAAGAAGTATAAGTAAAATTAGAGAACCTTACCTTATGCAACATAGCATATTTGCATGTCATGAATGCATATAAGGAAGATTTTAGGCATGAGTCATCCATATGCATGTGTTTAATTGAGTAATTACATAAGAAAAAATATGAGAAATGAGAAAGAAACACTCTATGAATAGAGATAAAGAAAACAACAAATTCTCTTAGAGTAAAGAGAAAGAAAGAACTAGCACTAGAAGATAAAATGATTCTTAAGTGCTATAGAAAAGAAAAGAAACTAGGTTGTGCGATGGGAACTCGTGAGTATAGAGTTACCCTCATGTAAACCGTTATGAGAAAGAACGGTCTCTGCCATGAGAGAGCGGAATGCGTGCAAATCGCTATGATAAGGAGCGATCTCCGCCATGAGAGAGCGGAATGCATGTGATCCGTTATGAGAAAGACGGACTCCGCCATGAGAGAGCGGAATACACGTAAACCGCTATGAGAGAGAGGGAGCAGTTTCCGCCATGAGAAAGGCGGTATGAGATTGAGAAAAAAAGAAAAGAATAGAAAGAAAAGAAAAGAAAGAAAAATGAGAATTTGAATTAGAAATTTGATAAGAATACAAAGAGAATTGATGAGTAATGCACGGGGATGATAGCGTAAGAGACTGTTTTACTTACTGGGCATCTTTGTGCTCACTCCGTTGTTTTCTTTGTTGTACAGGAAATAGGTGAGGACTTGGTCGGATGGACGTCGGCAAGCGGGGAGATTTGGCTGCACTGTCCTTTGTTTCGTTTTGTTTCGAAAGTCCTTGTACATATGATGTTTTGTTTTGTAACGAATGTGATTACTAAGTAAAGGATATTTACACACGACACTCTAGTGATCTCAAGTCGAAGGACCACATGCACCACTATATATAGGAGGATATATTCCACAGACACTGGGTTTACCATCTCGTGTGGAATCCTCTGATGGGTTAGTCTAGTGTACTTGCACAAGCAAGCAACCATGCGTTGCACCAAGTTGATGCCCATAACCTTGACATGTGAGATCTATCACTACCTTTCGATAGGGTCGTTCATGTAATATACTGTATAGCTAGTAATTCTGTAAGAAATATAAGATAAAATCCACCAAATAACTTTTACAAACATATGTACATAATGTAAATCCGAAAATTCTAATTTTTAATTCATATAAATATATACACAAAATATTGATATATTTTAGTAAACATAAGGTAATCTTGAATAGTGCCGCCAAACTCCTCCACTTCTTGACGTCCCACCCGATCAAAAATCATCTAGTACCTGCAAAACAGTAAAATAACGGAGTGAGCACTAATTGCTTAGTAAGTAAAGAAAACTACACTACTGTGTTTCCTCTGTTACTCATGTTCTGAGTTTTTCTTTTCTCACTTAATTCTTTAATTATATTCTTCATTCTTTTCTGTTTCTCTTATGTTGTATCTCTTTTTTTTTCTCTTCTGTTTTTCTTTCTCTTATATTGTATCTTTCTTTTCTTTTCTATTTCTGTTTCTTTTATGTTTTCTTTCTAGTATGCTGAGGACTAGGTTGATGCATGGATTTGGAATCCTGGCCATGTGAGTGGGTACAGCCCTCATCTACATGCACTACTCACGGACTGTACAAGTACTGTTTCTCTCTACTGTGGCCACTCGGTCGTGGCGGTGTGCATGTAGGCATGCTCTACTAGGTATAGTCCTCATCCATACGCACTACTCACAGACAGTACAAATACTGTATCTCTCTGCTGATGCTGCTCACTTGTGGCAGCATGTATGTGGGCATCTTTGTCACTCATAGGCTCCCCATCGCAAAAACCTTATATCATAGCATGCTATAGAAAGATATACTATAAACATTTCAACATACACTTGCATTCTTTAAAAACATACACTTTCCATATATGAACATATCATTTCATCATCACCATTTCATGGATGCAAACAAATTCATAGAAACATATCATCCTTAGGCTTGTTTATACATACACAAGCTCATACTTAGGTAACATATAACATATTACACATAGCCTCTGTGGTCATTCATTACATCAAATATATGTTCATACAATCATTAGATAATCACAAAGACCACTCATTCAAACATGCTTCACAACCCTTTAAGCATAATTTTCATACTTGGAATCAATCATAGATTATTAGATTAAAAAATAAACTAATAATTTGGAAGCACTTTTGAGGTAGTCATTCTGCACAGGTCATATTCAAAAGGTATACCTCGAGCTATACACATCGGATTGCTATGGTCTTGGTCTCATTTTAAAGCTTCGAGAAAAGGCTACAACTTGTAACAACTGCTCTAAACTAGTAAAATGCTTGCATAACAATAATAGAAAATGGGCCCAAAACTTTTCTTTTTTATTTCAGGTAATAAGTCTTTTATACACAAGGAGTATTATTTTACAAGATGCCATTTAAAAGACAAAAACAGGGGAAACAGTGTAGCTATTGCTCCTCGCTTGCCGACGCCCCTCCGACTGTATCATCACACTTTCTTTCTATTGTTTTCTACTAACATTATGGCCTTATCTTACCGGAGGTACGGCCGGATGGGGTTCACACAACACCATCTCACTCTTCATGACTGTCGGGTGGAGTTCACACAGCACCAACCCGCTCTTAGTGACTACCGAGTGAGGATCACAAAGCATCTACCCAGTTTTCATAACTATCGGGTGGAGACCATAAAGCACCTACCCGTTTCTCATGACTTTTGGGTGACGATCACAAAGCATCAACCCGTTTCTAATGGCTTTCTCTACTCTAGCACTTCTCATTCTCTCTACCCGTAGAGTAGTTGCATTCACAAAGTTCTCTACGCATAAAGCAAGTGCATACACAAAGTTTTCTACTCTTATTAAGCCCCTTCTCAATGCACAAATAGTGCATATGGATGGTTCATCTCCACTAATGCACTTATGAAATGCCAACATGCAATGTTGCAAGAATTAAGGTTCACTACTCATACTCAAACCTCTACTAGGCATTTCATCAAGCAACTCAAGTGCATAACAAGACTCTACTATAACAATAATTCTATGTCTTTCTTTAACCATCCAAAATGGGAGAAAACTCCCCCACATAGTCATAAATCCTGTCATAAAATAACACTGTCAAAAAGGATTTCTCAAAATCCTTCAATTCCATCTCAAACTACATTCCCAACCCACATCTCACTTCTCATAATTAAAGTGTATGAACAACCATAAAGCAATAATTATCTCCATTTAAATCTTAATAACATAGCATATCACATGTATATACATACACACATAATTGCAATTAACTCTCTATTCAAGAAAGTTCTCAAATCTCTACTTGGGTTGGGGTTTACTTACCTTGTGATGGAGAGATCTCACTAGCTCTTCCTTTCTCTTGGTTTGCTTGATTTGTCTTTCTACCCTTAGGATGCCTTAGATTGATTTCTACCCAAATCACTCCAAAGCCCTCTAAAAACCTTGACAATTGGAAGAGAAATTGAGAGGAAGTAAAAAGGAGAATGCGGGTGGAGAAGAAAGAATGAGGGTTTTGCAATGACTTAATTCCTTTTAATACAATTTATGCACAAGCATTCCATTTTGCCCTTACTCTTCCTTAGGAACTCCATTTATACCCTTTGATTCATTACAAACAATCCCCATATTAACATATCTCCAAGAAATTCCTTACATTTTACTCCCCATTTTCCTACTAATTAGGGGTAGATGGTCAAATTGCCCTTAGGGAAGAAAATATCTAAACTTAACAAACATTTGGTCGGCCCGTCGTCGCGGGGAAAAATTTTCTGTCGTCGCGGCAAAACTGTCTAGCAGCTTCCCCCTTCAACACCTCTTCGCTTCGGCGAAGCCTGGAACACTAAACTTCTTCTATTTCAACCAATTTCAAGGCAAGTATTCAACATACCATTCAATCAAAGGCCAACCAAACAAATAATACTAATAAACCGACCTCAAATAAGAGCAAAAAGAGAAACATTAGCTACGTACCTCAAGTGGGGTGTTAAAATTTTCCCCCCTTAAAAGAATTTCGTCCCCGAAATTCATACAAATAACTCTGGGAAGCGATTCTGCATGTCTCGTTCTACCTCCCAAGTGGCCTCTTCCACTTTGTGGAGTCCTCCAAAGGATCTTCACTAGCGAAACACTCTTGTTCGAAGTCCTTTAATCCTTCGATCTAGAATCTGAACTGGACATTCTTCATATACTAGATTCTTTGTTAACTCAATGTCCTCTACACTCAGGATGGCGAAGGGATCACTTACATACTTCCGTAGGATCGAGACATGGAAAACACATGCACTGTCATGCTAGGTGGTAGAGTCAACCTGTAGGCCACCTTCCCACGTCTGTAATACCTCAAATGGACTAATATATCTCGGTGCTAACTTTCCTCTACTTCCGAAACGCATTACCCGCTTGTAGGGGAAACTTTCAAAAACACTTTGTCACCCACTTGGAATTCCACCTCTTTCCTTTTCAAGTCGGTATAACTTTCTATCGATCTTGGGCTTGTTTCATTCTATTTCTGATTAACTTCACATCTTCAACCAGTTTCTGAGTCATCTCTGGCCCAAGAGCATACTAATTCATCTTTTTCGCTTACCTCATCCCAATATAATGGAGACCTACATCATCTACCATATAAAGCCTTGTAAGGCGCATTCTATTGTAGACTGATAACTGTGTTATGGTAATTCCACTAAGGGTAACATCTCATGCCAGGATACTCTATAATCCATGCAACAGGCTTTCAACATATCCTCGAGCACCTGATTCGTTCTCTGCTGTTGGCCATCTGTCTGAGGATGATAAGCAGTACTAATGCTAAACGGGTACCCAAATTCCTCTGTAAACTCGTCTAGAAAGCTGAAACAAATCTGGAGTCTCTATCTGACACTATAGTCTTGGGCACACCATGCAATCTGACTACTCCTTGAGGTAAATCTGAGCCAGCTGATCTATAGTGGTACTCTCCTTTACTGGAAGGAAATGGGCTGATTTGGTTAATCTATCCACAATCACCCATATAGCATTACACCTTCTGACTCTAGGGAGACCCGTGATAAAATCCATCGAAATGCTCTCCCATTTCCACTCTGGAATACTCAATGGTTGAAGCAACCTGACGGCCGTTGTGTTTCTGCTTTCAGTTGCTGACAAGTTAGACTTAGCTACAAAATCTGCAATGTCTTTCTTCATACCTGACCACCAATAGCCTTTCTTTACACTCTGATACATCTTGGTTGCTCCCGATTAGCAGTGTACGGTGTGTCAGAGCCTCCATAAGATTTCTCTTTCAACTCCTCTTCGGAGGAATGCTCAACCGATTCCTAAAATAGAGGACACCATCTCCACAAAGAACTCTGATGTCTTGCCCTCAAGCACTTGCTAACTGTTTTTCTAACACCACTCATCGGCCCATTGCTTTTCTCTGATTTCCTCCAGTAAAGTAAACTGTACCTCTAGACTGGCAACCTCTTCCTGGAACCACTTCAATATGTTCTTTAGCAATTCTCTATTAACTTTCTCTTGGTAAGCCGGAATAAATAGGCTTTTCTACTCAGGCATCAGCTACTACATTGGCTTCCCCGTTGATACTTGATCTCACATTCGTAATCCTTAACCAGCTCTAACCACCTTCTCTGTCTCATATCAACTCCCTTTGAGTGAAAGTACTTTAACTCTTGTGATAGGTGAGAATTCTTTATTACTCTTACACCATAAGGT